GTTGCATCATTCAATCTGCCATACAAAATCAGGAACTTCTATTCAATTACATATTTTAATTAGAAATGTACATACAGTGAATATACAAGAAGGCTATTTTATGTAAACTGTAGCTCATTCATCCAGATCTGTACCTGTAACTTCTTTAGCTCACTAAAAATTTAAAACTTGAATCAGTTTTAAAGTTCAATTTGAAAATATTTGTCTTATAAACATAGCTTAAAATATCCCATGCAGTAGCAGAAGAAACAAAAAATTTAATACACGGACTACTGCGTATACTTGAACAGATTACTTTTCAATCTAGAAAAGAATGTGAGTAGCCCACTTAATTTGTATCAGCAATATAGATGTCATTGTATAAACTCCTGAAGTGATTTTTTTTCCACTTTATCAGTTCGAATATAAGAGAAACAACCACTGCTATTATCAGAGATCCCAGTGAGTTTCCCAACTGACTTTACAATTTTAATTGCATTTACAAGTGTAAACAGCTCTGAGCACCATTTATTTCTTCAGCAGCTTTTGAAAGGGAATGAATCTAAATGCAATTAAATAAGTTGATACTTTTGAGAACCTGAGTTATAAGTAATTTCCAAACCAGTTCAACAAAAATTGCACTAAAACTTCCTTACTAATAAAAATTCTGAGTGCCAATATAATTGACACCTTAACTATCATAAAATCTTAAAACATATCACAAAGATGTCCATGTAACTGTGTCTTGAGTTCATTATTAGAGAACCAAGACCTTACTTGGCAACTATAATTGCTAATATTTTTTAAAAGTATGTACTAGTTTTTTTATGGATAGAGGCTGTTTAGAAATTTATATAGGCAGTACATTTCTTTTTTATTTATTTATTTATTTATGGCTGCGTTCTTTGTTTCTGCGTGTGGGCTTTCTCTAGTTGCGGCGAGCAGGGGCTACTCTTCATTGAGGTGTGAAGTCTTCTCATTGCGGTGGCTTCTCTTGTTGCCGAGCACGGGCTCTAGGCACATGGGCTTCAGTAGTTGTGGCACACGGGCTCAGTAGTTGTGGCTCATGGGCTCTAGAACGCAGGCTCAGTAGTTGGGCGCACTGGCTTAGTTGCTCCACAGAATGTGGGATTTTCCTGTACCAGGGCTCGAACCCGTGTCCCCTGCATTGGCAGGTGGATTCTTAACCACTGTGCCACCAGGGAAGCCCCTAGGCAGTACATTTCTGTATGAACAGTGGTATTTTAAAAAGTTAAGCTGTTTCTATTCAATAGTTTTCTTTTTAAAGTCTTCCCACTTTCATTTCTGATTTTGTTACACCATTCTCACATACTTTGAAAACCCTCCCACTAACCCATCTGGCATGCTATCCCCATTTTTATTCTTTAAATTCCTCTTTAGGATCAATTTGCTTTAAGAAAACTCAGTTATACTCATAAAAGAGCAAGAG